ACCCTTAAACTAGCCCCTGACCCCTCAGCCCCCAAACGGAATCCCTAAACTTTCTAAACTCCAACCCCTTATATAGCCCTCAACCAAAGCCTAAACCCAAACTGAGCCGTCAACAAAGGACAGGCTGAGCTGCAAAAGCAGTTGCTGAACTTCCTCCATCTCCACCTATTTCATGTTTAGGGTTTCGGGTGTCGTTGTTTTTTTTCGCAAGCTCTTGCTTGCGATTGCTCGGGCTTGGTGTTTACTGAACCCCAAGCCGTGTAACCCTAAATCCTAAACCCCTAACCCCTAAACCCTAAACCCTAACCCCTAAACCCTAACCCCTAAATCAAAACCCCTAAACCCAAACCCCTAACCCCTAAACCTGAACCCTAATCCCCAAACACTAACCCTAACCCCTGAACCCAAACCCCTAAACCTCAACCCTAATCCCTAAACCCTAACCCTAAACCCTAAACCTCAAACCCTGAACCCTAAACCCTAACCCTAACCCCTAAACCCTAAACCCTTCTTGCTCATTGGTTTGGAATGTAGGAGTTCCTACAGGGGTTCCTTTACGGGGTTCTATAGGGTTTAGGGTTTAAGAACTGTCAGGGTTCCTTTTATTTGGGGTTTAGGGTTTAGGGTTTAGGGTTTAGGGTTTAGGGTTTAGGGTTTAGGGGGGTACTCTAAGGGTTTGCAGGTTTAGGGGTTTAGTGTAGGAGCCTGGTTAAGGAACCCAGGGTCTTCACTGGGGCTCTTTACATGAACCGATGAACACCTAACCCTAAACCCTAAACCCTAAACCCTAAACCCTAAACCCTAAAACCCTAAACCAAGTATACTGAGGATATACATCCGAGATCATCCTAGTATAGGGGCCTTAAGAATCCGACCGGGCTCTGGTGTAGATTATACTATAGCTACAAAAAAGGGACTACTAAAATAGTATTGGTAATCGTTTAGGCCCCCCTATAATCAGGCTTCTTAACTAAGTTCCAACGTTACGATCTGGGTTAAGGGCTTAGGGTTTAAGGCTTAGGGGTTTGGGGTTTAGGGTTTAGGGTTACCCTAAACCCTAAACTAAACCCTAAACCCTAAACCCTAAACTCCTAAACCCTAAACCCTTGACCCTCAACCCTAAACCCTAACGTTTAGGGGTTAGGGGTTTAGTGGGCTCCTTGACTCCTTGGGTTGGGTCCTTCTAGCACGGGAGCCCTCAAGCCTAAAGCCCGCATCGCGCGCCATGACACTCCCGAGTAGTGGGGTTTAGGGTTTAGGGTTTAGGGTTCAGGGTTTAGGGTTTAGGGGTAGAAGTAACTAACTAGACCAGGGTTTCGAGGGTCTGTATACAACAGAATGGGGAATTTTGCCCCAAACTTACCCTAGACCCTCAAACGATAAAACCTTGAATCCCCCGAACCCTAATAAGCACTAAACCCGAGACCCCAAACCCGAAAACCCCAAACCTTGAAACCCCAAAGCGCCTAGGGACCCCTCTGACAGTGTCTGGGGCAGCATCCCCCATCTTGTCATATACTCCCCAAAATAGTAACCTACAAAACTACTATCCCAACCCCTATAAGCCCTAAACCCGCTAGACCGTCGTACTTAATTGTCAGGTCCTTTGCACCGTTAGGGCTTGACAAAGGAGGCCTGAAACAGCTTCAACATCTCGTAGACCTGCTCTCATTTCGCTTCGGGCTTTCCGGCAAAGGATCTGGGGCTGCCCTAAACCCTTAACCGCCTAGGGTGTTGGGATTAGGGCGTAGAGCTGAAAGGCTTAGGGGCTCCTCTTGCTGGTTCTACAAGGGGCTGTCAGGGGGTTTGGGGTTTAGGGGGTTTGGTGTCTAGGGGTTCAGGGTGTCGTAGCCTAGGGTTCAAGAGTTTAGGCAGTTTCGGGTTCAGGGTGTACGCTTTTTTGCTTCTAGAAGGGTTCCTTCAGCGCACCGCCAGAAAGGGTAATGTAGGGGCCTTAATCCTTAGAATAGGGTTTGGGTGTATACTGTACTCTACCTAATAAGGACCACCCCCAAAATACCATGTAATTATCTGGGCCCCTATATTGCCCTAAAGCCTAAACCCTAGCACCCTAAACCCTAAAACCCTAAACCGTAAACCCTAAACCCCTACAGGAGTTCATGTGGGCTTTTAACAGGGCGCTTCAGCTTAGTGGACTCCGCATTTGGGTCTCAAGGCTCAGGGCGTTCAAGGGTTCCTCTTGTTCCTTTCTACAAAGTGATCCCGTTAATTAAGGGGTTCCTTTCAAGTTAGGGTTTAGGGTTTAGGGTTTACCTATAAAGCTTCCTTTTAAGAGCTATAGGATTTCGGACTTGTCGTGCCCATGAAGACCAGAACCCACCTGGGCTTTGGTTTTGGAAATGCCCTAAACCCAAAACCCCAAAACCCTAAGCCCCAAAACCCCAAACCCTAAACCCTACACCGAACACCCCAAAACCCCCAAACCCTAAACCCTAAATACCCTAAAACCCTAAACCCCCAAACCCCTAAAACCCGAAGGACCCAGCGACCTTCCATCCTAGACCCTGAGGCCTACCCACCAAACTGGATTCTTGTTAGGATTTAGGGTTTAGGGTTTAGGGACCCTGAGGCCTACCCACCAAACTGGATTCTTGTTAGGATTTAGGGTTTAGGGTTTAGGCTTTAGGGACCCTGAGGCCTACCCACCAAACTGGATTCTTGTTAGGGTCTAGGGTTTAGGGTTTAGGGTTTAGGGACCCTGGCCTGCCCACCAAACTGGATTCTTGTTAGGATTTAGGGTTTAGGGTTTAGGGACCCTGAGGCCTACCCACCAAACTGGATTCTTGTTAGGGTCTAGGGTTTAGGGTTTAGGGTTTAGGGACCCTGAGGCCTGCCCACCAAACTGGATTCTTGTTTGGAAAATTCATCCAATATAGGGGCCTTAATAATTGGAATAGGGTTTTGGGGGCACATTATACTTTATAGTGAGCAATAAGGAACCCCCCCAAATAGTATTGATACTTATTTAGGCCTCTGTGTTAAGTTCCCGCAATAATAAGAAAGACATCTTATTGGCGATAGATCACCAGTATGGTAGCTTCAAGTGAGTTCCTTAGCACGAACCCAGCCTGAACCCACAACCCTAAGCCCCGAAACCAAACAACTAAACCCTGAACCCTAAACCCAAACCCTAAACCCTAAACCCTAAACCCTAGACCCTAGACCCTAGACCCTAAACCCAAACCCGAAATCCGAAATACCGGAGCGCGCCTGGAAGGCCTGCAATCGCAGGCTTCGAGTCACGAGCTTCCCCACATAGGATCCCAGGGCTGCTGTGCGCTTGTTGCCCAGGGCCCATTCCTTGGAGAAAGGGCGTTGAACGGGCTTAGGGTTTAGGGTTTAGGGTTTGGGCCGGTAGGGTTTAGGATGTGTGTTGTTATATAGGGGGTTCATAGGCTGATATTCTAAAAAACCTCAAAGCTGTAGCCGACTTCCGTCTGGCTTTATGAGATTGACCCTAACCCTAAGCCCTAAACCCTTTAGGGCTTACTACCTCAGGGTCGAGCTGACCGGAAGAAAAGCCTCCGACAAAAAACAAAGAAGATCCTGAACCAAGGTTCAGGGCCGGAAGCCCTGAACTCTGCACTTGGCAATAGCACTCGCAAAGACGGTAATATAGGGGTCTTACTAAGTAGAACAGGGGTTTGGGGCCCATTATACTGCATATATATATATATATAATAAGGAAACCACCAAAAATAGTACATTTAATGATGTAGGCCCCTATAGCAAGCGCAGACCCAAGCTTCACTTGCTCGATGCGTCGGAAAAACAACGGGTTCTGGGTCCAGCTGTGCGATTCTCGCATCTGGCCTGAACCAGTAGCTCAGCAAGGAGCGGTTGAACTGCTCCTGAAGCAGGCTTCGAGTGGGTAGTCGCCAACAGGCCATCAACAATCAAAGTATGAAAAAACACCATGTCTCTACCACGCTAAACTCTAGGCCATAGGCCCTAGCTACAAGTCTCTGCCAAAAACAGGCAAAACAAAGGCCCAACACCTCTTAAAGGCTACTGTTTTAGCATACTTTTTGGAGTCCCGAAACCCGAAAACCCGAAACCCTAAACCCTAAACCCGAAACCCTAAACCCTAAACCCGAAACCCTAAACCCTAAACCCCAAAACCTTAAACCCGAAGGGAGCTGCTTGGAAAGCTCTGCGCCTCCAAACTCTGTCCGGCTTCTAAGATGCCAATGGCGGTCGGCATCCCGTATGCAGTGGACCAGAACCTGCTTTTCGGTTCGGGTTTAGGGTTTAGGGTTTAGGGGGCCTTTGAGGGTACTTAAAGTTTAGGGTTTAGGGTTTAGGGTTTGGGGTTTAGGGTTTAGGGTTTAGGGGGCCTCTGAGGGTACTTAAAGGATCATGGGACTTAGTGGCTGGGCGTATAAACAAGTAACTATAGCTATATATACTTATAACTAGGCACTTATAACCGAACCCCTAAACCCTAAACCCTAAACCCTAAGCCCCTAAACCCTCAACCCTAACTTACAAAGGCCCTGATCCTCCCAATAGGCTGTGCAGTATCCCATTGGGCAAAAACACCTACGCTTGGGGGCTAGCTGTATGATAACAGGGTTTTAGGGTTTAGGGTTTAGGGTTTGAACCCAGAAACAAGAAGCAACAAAATTTATACCACTGATCAACCTGGAAGCATAAAGCTATCCACTAGCCATCCAAAGCGAGCAGAGAGCACAGGAATGCACTGAGAAGTATTGTGCCGGCAGGCTGGTGCAATCCAAAACCGGCCATCCGGACAGTAAGCGTGATAGCCACCCTCCACCTCGATGAGTCCATCTACGTCGCCAGACCACTGGGCATAGGGATTCATGAAAGCTGGGTCAGTCATCATCGTGCCGGTCGTATTGCAAGGCCGTACCTGACTCTCCACGGACATATTTAGGGTCTAGGGCCAAGGGTCTAGGGCTCCACTGACATCTGTACTCAGGTCACCTCAGTGTTTTTTGTGTTACGCTTATGGTTCAGGATACACATACCTTCACACTACATCCCCGAGACAAACCCATAACAACGCTGAACCTGAAAACTTTGCACCCTTCACTGGATTTCACAGGTACCGCATCAGCAGGCAAGCTCCATGGAGAGTCGAAGAAGCGCCTGACATCGTTGTGGGACGGGTTGTAGGACTTGTAGAACTCCAGGGCAATGCCGGACTCCTGCGTCACGATAGACCCTGAACCCGAAATCCAAAACCCTACAGAGACGACAACCTAAACTCCATACCTTAGACGCCAAGGGCAAAGATGCCACGAAATGGGCTACGTATAGGGACAACTCCCCACCCCCTTAAACTGACACCCTAAACCGTAAACCTACCCCCTCCATCTGAAATCGTGACCTACTTGCTTCACATAGCACTCTTAAAATGCTATCTTATCATATATGTATATGTATATGTAGATGTATATGTATATGTATATGTATATGTATATGTATATATATATATATAGAAATACATATATATATATATATATACACATACATATACATACGGTACTCATGAAATTGCATTATACACTTCCAGGAAATTGATGTCGCGAGGAGAATCTAGAAGGCCTCCAAACCCTGGATGAAGGAACCCCACAGGAGCCCTGATGTAAAAAATCATTCGTCTCGCCAATCTTCACCCTGTTGCATATAAGGAATCATTACTCTCTCCTATGATGTACCCCTGTTTGAGGCGCTGTGCAACCATAAAGATTCTAAAGAGCACAGTCAGCAGATGTATGTGCATGTTGCACCGTAAGATAAACGAAAGCCTGAACCCCAAAATCCTAAACCCTACACCCTAAGCCCTAAATGAACCTAAACCCTAAAACCTAAACCTTAAGCCCTAAACTCTACCCTACGCACTTTCAGCCTTTCAGCACTAAACCCCCACACCGTAAAAATGACTCAACTTCCTGCTTGAAGCCCTTGACCCTCTGAACCCTAAAACCAAATCCCCCCACCCCCACCGCTGAACCCCTAGTGTAGGGGCCTTGACAGTTAGAGGCAGGTTTGAAGGGCTCCTTTATACTACGACGAAGGAGCCCCCAAAGCATGGTATGGAATAGTCTTGGTGACCCTCTATATAAACTACCCTAAATACCCTAATTCACGCTTCTATGCAAAATACCCCAAAATACCCTAGACCCTAAGCCCCTAGAGGCCCTAAAGCCCTTTTGTTTGGCCCTACCCTGCACTGACCCAATCAGGCGGCGCAAGGCGTTGGCACAGCTTGTTGAGAGAAAAATGAGCATCAGAAATCACGTCTGCGAGCTGCTTCGTATATAGCTTCTTCTCCGATAATAATTGAACCAGTATAGTTACAATTTCATAGCCTCTGCTCATACACACACTTCTTGGAGAAATGCAGCCCTAAGCCCCTATAAAGCCGAAAAGCCCACATTCACCCCTAAACCCCTAAACCCCTAAACCCTAAACCCTAAACCCCCCGGGGCCTCATAAGCAGAGGTCAGCGTGGGTCTCGGCACATACAGGGCTTCCTCGAGGGCCCATCCGATGGTGCCGAGATCCTCC